CCCGAACGTCAGCAACGTGACTGCATCACCTCCGCTGACACAGCTTCGGGGGCGGGGTTTCCCCCAGGCCCGGATTCCTCCGGGGCAGAACTCGGGGGCTCCGAAGCGGGGGGTTCCCCGCCCCCCGGGCACATTTGGGAACCCTAATTTCCTGAGATGTATCACTCAAGTCAGCTTGTCAAGTTTTTTTGTTTGTTTGTTTGGAAGCAACGAATTGTGAAAAATGTATTTATCAGAGGCAGGCTTGCAAGAGTTATTCACAGAACCAATGACAGGAGATTCAGAGAGTCTTACCAAGATAGTTTTCTTTGCTCTGTACGGATGAAGAAGAAGAAGAAGAGGAGGAGATTGGATTTATACCCCGCCTTTCACCACCCACAGTTGTCTCAGAGCGGCTCACAAACTCCTTTCCCTTCCCCTCCCCACCACAGACACCCTGTGAGGTGGGTGGGGCTGAGAGAGTTCTGACAGAAACTGCTCTTTTCCAAGAACAGCTTTGCCAGAACTACAACTTGCCCAAGGTCATCCAGCAGGTGCAAGTGGAGGCGTGGGGAATCAAACCCGGTTCTCCCACTTAACCACTACACCAAACTGGCTCTCAGTTTGTAATCCTAGGAGATCTCCAGCCACTATCTGGAGGTTGGCCACCCTATTTTTGCCTCAGGAACCCCCAAATCAGTCAGGTCCCTTTCCATATCTTGTGTCATTTTTTCTCATAAAACCTTTGATAAATCCTTCAAGCAATGTTAACATAACCCGATCATTCAATATGTCTAATTCATTCACACACACACACAAGGTTTCAAGATAAGCTAAGTTGTGTGAATCAAGGTGCGGGATTCGGGGAGGGGAAACTCTTCTGCAAAGCAAGGTGAAAGGCCGGCATTGATATTTACAAACAGCAAGTCAAAGCAAAAGCATAATAAAGAAGGAAGCATAAAAAGAAAGCTGGGAGGGAGGGAGAAGCATTCCTCTGTAGCAAAAAGAAATTTCCACTGCAGGCCGCCATTAAGAGCTATCTTCCTTTTGTAATCTCCCCCCCACCCCCGGTAGCAAATAAGCTTTTGTGTCTGGGTGGGAATATTTCACACCTCGTCTGCTGCTAATTAAAAATAACAGTTTACAAAAGCACGTTCGGTCCTTCCCCCCTTCCAGCTGCAAACCATCTTCCACAAAGAGTGACCTTTTAGCAGCTGTCACAGGTGAGATCTGCCACCCATCGCGGAAACCGCAAGGAGGGTCACAGTTCGAATGCCAGGCCTGGGACGTTGTGTGCCGTCAGCTTGCTCAAATTGTTTATGGCACACATTGTTAAATATGAGCCCCGATGTTACAATCTGCTAGTCAGCATCTGCTGGTGGTCCCCGGCCCTAGGGGCATCCATCTTGCCTCAACTAGGGCCAGGGCTTTTTTGGCCCTGGTTCTTACCTGGTGGAATGAGATCTGGACCCTGCGCGGCCTTTTACAGTTCCGCAGGGCCTGCAAGACGGAGCTCTTCCACCAGGCTTTTAGTTAAGGCGGAGCTCTTCCACCAGGCTTTTAGCTGAGGCAGCGGACTTCCTCCTCCTCCTCTTATCTCTCAATTGGGCCTCCCCTTCGGTGGATCAGATCTGTGTAACATCTGGAGCCCCAATTTGTGATAGGCCACATTTGTTGAGGCTCTGATTAGAAATATAGGAACCGTGCTGTATTTTATCTGATGATTTTAAACTGTTTTTAATTGTTTATATATTATATTTCATGGAACCCGCCCCCAGGCCGTTATGTGGGGAGGGCGAGATACAAATCCAATAGACTAAAATAAATAATACAATTTAATTTCCGCCCCTTTGGAGTATGGGGCAGGTGATGGCTATTTTGAACCCAACACATGGGGGTGGAGGCATCTAATGTATTTATTTATTTAATTTCTACCCCACCTTCCCTGCCAAAGCAGGTTCAAGGCGCCTTACATAGGATAATAAGGATTAAGATAAAATTATCTAAAATCACAGCAAATACACATAAAAACATATAAAGTGCTAGTGCTAGAATGATTCATCTACAATGGCGGGCATGAGCAGCCTCCAACAATACAACACAGTGACTGCTAGCGTAATCTGGGTTATATCCGGCTGTTTAAATGATGTTATAATCATAGAATGTTAGAGTTGGAAGGGACCTTGCAGGTCATCTAGTCCAACCCCCCTGCACTCTGCAGGAGCAGAGCCGAAAGATAGCCCTACAACATACCCGAAAGATGGTCGTCCAGCCTCCGCTTGGAAACGTCCAGCGGTACTGATGTGTCCCTCTTTCTCATTCTCGTTCCTGCATTTGCAGCTGAGGCATCTTTTCCTTCGTTTCCAGGTACGACAGCTTCGGGCGCCTCACCAACATCACTTTCCCTAAAAAGGCCAAGTCAGCAGCTTCCGGAGCGACACCGACAGTTCGGTCCACGTCCAAGTGGAGACGTCCAGCAAAGACGATGTCACCATAACAACCAACCTGTCGGCCTCGGGCGCCTTCTATACCTTGCTGCAAGGTGAGCCAGGCACCTGTGTACTGAGATTCAGCCCGGGGGTAGTTGGCGGGAGGGGGCTGGACGCATGCCAAGGAAGGGCTGGGTTTGGTGCCTCACTCCGCGGCCCACCCTGGATGGAAAGTCTCCCAGTGGTTGTGTGAATGTCTGGAGAAGAGGAGGTGGAGGGGGGACAGGATGGCTCTCTTGAAGTCTCTGAAGGGCGGTCGCTTAGAGGAGGAGGGCAGGGAGCTTTTCCTGTTGGCAGCAGAGGAGAGGACTCGCAAGAATGGGTTTAAACTATGGGCAGAAAGACACTGGCTGGATTTTAGGGAAAACATTTCTACGGAAAGAGTTGTGCAGCAGTGGAATCGGCAGCCTGGGGAGGGTGGTGAGCTCCTCCTCCCTGGCCGTCTTTAAGCAGCATCCAGACAAACCCTTGTCAGGGATGCTCTAGGCTGATCCTGCATTGAGCAGGGGGTTGGACTAGACGGCCTGTAGGACCCCTTCCAACTTCTGAGATTCTATGATTGTGTAATTCTAGGTGGTCTCCCTTCCAAGTACTAACCAGGGCTGAACCCTGCTTAGCTTCTGAGATCTGGCAAGATCGGGCCAACCTGGGCCATCTGCTCGCTCCCCCACACACACACACTTCGGTGGGGGTGAAGGCAAAATTAAGATAATTTCCATAACTTCCCCTGAGCTTCGCCTGCAAGTCAGGCCATTAATGCAAGTAGATCCAAATAATGAATCGGGGTCTCCTCTGGGGCGACGGGCAAGGCCGCGAGAAGGGTTGAGCGGCACGCATCGGACCGCGCAGCAGGAAACAGACGCCACTGTAGTAATCCCAGCACCGCGGGAGCTCGGTGTCCTGTGCCTCGTGACGCCTTCTGGCGCTGACACACACACATCATCACACCTAATTAACAAGCAGGGCCGGTTATTGGTGCCACAGCTGTTTCCCACTTGGGGATCGGCCTGTTTCCTTGCTTTGTGCGTTCTTCTCACAACACAACCTCCGCCTCTGGTTACTACTCTTATTAAAGTGATTTTTTAACCACGGGCAAGGTTGGGTGGCTGACAAAGTTCCCCGCATTCCAACAAACCAAGTTCTCCATCGGGGAAGACGAGAGGTGCATTAAATCGCACACATGGTACGATTCTTTACGAAGCAATATTCGAGTCACGGTAAGACAAAAGGGGGCAATCAAGAGAAAGTCGGCGTGCTCGAGTACCCATTAAAACCAGCAAATCTGCTAATTGCAGTTCACTGCCACAGGAAGTGGTGGCGGCTACAAGCATGGACGGCTTCAAAAGGGAATTAGATAAGCATATGGAGCAGAGGTCCATCAGTGGATATTAGCCACAAGGTATGGATAGGGGCTCTGGGACAAGTGATGCAGCCTTCCTTGGTGGTCTCCCATCCGAGTGCCGACCTTGCGTAGCCTCCGAAATCTGGTGCGATGGGGCTATACTCTGCCGCTTTCCCTCCCAAGGGAAGTATTAGGCAAGCAAGAATAGGCCACTCACATGCAGTTGGTAACATGCAAGAGAAAAAAAAGATAAATCCTCCCATCCCATTCATGACGATCCACGTGCAGGCTCGTCGTGAATGACGTAAGCCCCTTTGGGGTCCGCGTGGGGGAGAAAGGCGGGGGTATAAATGAAGTAAAATAAATAAATAATTAAAATGAGACACAGAGGGAGGCGCAGGGTACAAGAAGGCTAAGGAGAGGTCACCTGTCCTTTCCAAGTTGTGAGGGGCCATGACTCAGTTCTTAATTTCATGGTTGTTGCATCGATAACACTGTCTAACCATCTCATCCTTTGCTGTCCCCTTCTTCTTTGACCTTCAATCTTTAGTTCACTGATTCCCAAGATGTCGATGTTCAGTCTTACCATCTCATTTTTGACCACATCCAACTTACCTTGATTCATAGATCTTACATTCCAGGTTCCTATGCAATATTGTCCTTTGCAGCATTGGACTTTCCTTTCCTTTCGCCGTCGGACACATCCACAACTGAGCGTCCTTTTGGCTTTGGCTTAGCCACTTCACTCTTTCTGGGGTTACTTACTTGTACATGCCCTCTGTTCTTCCCCAGTAGCATATTGGACACCTTCCGACCTGAGGGGCTCATCTTCCGGCGTCATATCCTGTAGCCTTTTGTTACTGTCCATGGGGTTTTCTTGGCAAAGATACTGGGGTGGGCTGCCATTTCCTTCTCCAGTGGATCACATTTTGTCTGAGTTCTCCGCTATGGCCTGTCCGTCCTGGATGGCCCTCCGTGGCATAGCCCGCAGCCTCATCGAACCACGCAAGCCCCCTCGCCACAACAAGGCAGTGATCAATGAGAGAGGCCCATACCTATGATGGGGCTATTGGGGGCTCCGCCCCCTTCCTTAAAGAGCCACCTCCTTTCTTAAAGAGCTCTTCTTCTTCTCAAAAGCATTTAAAGGGAGCCAAGTGCTCCCCTCCAATTAGCTGAAGAGCCCTTTAAATCCTGCAGGAGGGGAGGGAGAGGGGCGTGTCATTATAGAAGATAATGGCAGCCCCACCAGAAATGTTTTGCCCCACAAGCCACAAAATCCTGGCTGGTGTGGCATAGTGACGTTCCCAAGGTTCAGTCCCCAGCCTCTCCAGTTAAAGAATCAGGCCATAGGTGATATGAAAGACTTCAGCTGGAGACTCTGGAGAGAGGCCGCCTGTCTGAATAGACAATACTGACCATGATGGTCTGATTTAGCATACAGCCGACTCATGTTCAAGTCACATGACGGCCTGACGGTTCCTTTTCTTATAACCAAGGCATCTCCAACTGCTTATCAGCCCAAGTGGATTTCAGAAACATTAAGTTGTCTGGTGAATGCTGGGCAGGGAGGTTAGCTTCACCTCGGGAGTCTAATTAAGCCACAGAAGCTGTCGTTCAGGGCTCTTCAGGGAATTAATTGACTCGGCTGTGATTTATGCATCTAAAGAAGAGGACGCGGGTCTCGAATAATTGTCTCCTGGTCATGCATCTCAATCTCCAGCTCACCTGAGCTCAAAAGGCAGCCACACCGCTATGCAGATACATCATCCTCACCAGCACCGAGATTGTGGGGCAAGGCAAAGTCAGCGTGTCCCCATAAACATGGAAGAAACAGGACAAGCAGCAGACTCTCTGAAAATGGAGAATTGTCTTCCACTATCTCTGCGGGTGCTCCATGCAGAGATAGAACAGTTAGTTAAGGGCTCCGCTGTTTAGTTAAGGGCTCCGCTGGTGGATATCCTGATGGCCCCTGGATTTTGGCCACTGTGTGATACAGAGTGTTGGACTGGATGGGCCACTGGCCTGATCCAACATGGCTTCCCTTATGTTCTTATGTCTGGGGCAGTGGTGCTCTGTCTTCTTGGTGCTTGGGGGGCAAGAATGGGAGGGCTTCTGGAGTTCTGGCCCTGCTGGTAGACCTCCTGATGGCACCTGGGTTTTGGCCCCTGTGTGACACAGAGCGTTGGACTGGATGGCCCATTAGCCTGATCCAACATGGCTTCTCTTATGTTCTCATGTCTGGGGCAGTGATGCTCTGTATTCTTGCCGCTTGGGGGGCAAGAGTGAGAGGACCTCTGGAGTTCTGGCCCTGCTGGTGAACCTCCTGATGGCACCTGAGTTTTGGTCACTGTGTGACACAGAAGTGTTGGACTGGATGGGCCATTGGCCTGATCTAACATGGCTTCCCTTATGTTCTTATGTCTGGAGCAGTGATGCTCTGTATTCTTGATGCTTTGGGGGCAAGAGTGTGAGGGCTTCTGGAGTTCTGGCCCTGCTGGTGAACCTCCTGATGGCCCCTGAGTTTTGGCCACTGTGTGACACAGAGTGCTGGACTGGATGGGCCACTGGCCTGATCCAACATGGCTTCTCTTATGTTGATGTTCTTAAGGGAACCCTTTGGTGGTCTTTGGTCCCAGGCAGATGCCAGGACTTGCTGCCTGTCTTGTGTGTGTGTTATGCAGTGTCAAGTCTCTTCCGACGTAATGGCGACACTATGAATGAATGGCCTCCAAAACATCCTATCCTTAACAGCCGTGCTCAGTGTGGGCCGTGGCTTTCTTCATTGAGTCAATCCATCTTTTGTTGGGTCCTCCATTTTTTCCCGCTGCCTTCAAATTTTCCTAGCATTGTTGTCTTTTCCTGTGAGTCTTGTCTTCTCATGGAGTGCCCGAAGTACAGTAGCCTCAGTTGGGTCATTTTAGCTTCTAGGGAGAGCTCAGGTGTGATCTGCTCTAGAACCCACTTAGCTTTTTTTGGGGGGGGGTCCGCAGTTTCCATAAAACTCCCCTCCAAGATCACATTTCAACTGAATCAAATTTCTTCCCGTCAGCTTCCTTCATTGTCCAGTTTTCACATCCATACATAGTAACGGTACAAATACTTATAGTTTTAAATTGATCTACACTTTTCCAGTTTTAATTAACCATCCCGATTAGACAGGGTGATGAAGTTTTCTTGAAATTTCCTGGCAAGGTAGCCCCTTTCTTTGATGCCTAGATGGGTGCGGGTAGACCTTCCCTGTTCATACACATTTGGCAATGGCATCTCGTAATAGTGCTTCCCCACAACACACTGTTGGTGTGGCAAGCAGATACCCAAAGCCAGAGATATTGTTCTCTCCGTGACAAACAGACAAGACTATGTAGTTAAATTTCCATTTTCTGCCAGCACACTACAAGTCTCTCTGTAGAACAGAAAAATCACATGATCCCTGCCCAGAGAGCTTGCTACAGAAAAACTGAAGAAAGGAGGAGGAGGAGATTGGATTTATACCTCACCCTTCACTCGGAGTCTCAGAGCGGTTTACAATCTCCTTTCCCTTCCCCTCCCCACAACACCCTGTGAGGCAGGTGGGGCTGAAAGAGCTCTTTTGATGACTGCTCTTGAGCGAACAGCTCTGAGAGAACTTGTGACTGACCCAAGGTCACACCAGCAGCTACATGTAAAGGAGTGGGGTGCATGTCCAGATTAGAGTCCGCGCTCTTAACCACTACACCAAACTGGCACTCTCCAGTCCAATGAAGGTACATGAGAACATAACAGAGAAGCCAGTGTTGGACCAGGCCAATGGCCCATCCAGTCCAACACTCTTCAGTGGCTAAAAATACCAGGTGCCATCAGGAGGTCCAGCTGTGGGTCCAGGACACTAGAAGCCCTTCCACTGTTGCCCCCCCCCAAAACATCAAGAATACAGTGTATCACTTGCCCCACACTGAGAGTTCCTATTTATATCTTGTGGCTAATAGCCTCTGATGGACCACTGATGGACTTAATGCTGGGAGTAGCTTGGTAGCATCTTTGCAGTCCTCAGAACCTGCTCTAATCCAACCATTTCCACCCATCCTACAGATCAAGTGCGAAACAGCTACTACATCGGCGCCGATGGCTCACTCCGTCTCATGCTGGCCAATGGCATGGAGGTGGCCTTGCAGACCGAACCTCACCTGCTGGCCGGCACCGTGAATCCCACCGTGGGGAAGAGGAACGTCACCCTCCCCATCGACAATGGCCTTAACCTCGTTGAATGGAGGCAACGCAAAGAGCAGGCGAGAGGCCAGATCACAGTCTTCGGGCGCAGGCTGCGGGTGAGTGACAGAGGTCATGCCGAACCGTTAATCGAAAGTTTCTTCTTGTTTTTTTCACACAGTTCAGATTGAATGCACTTGCTGAGACCACTTGTGACTGACCCAAGGTCACACCAACAGGTGCATGTGGAGGAGTGGGGAATCAAACCCAGTTCTCCCAGATTAGAGTCTGCGCTCCTAACCACTACACCATACTGACTATTGGTCAGTCAGGGTCAGTATTGTCTACTCTGCTGGGTCTCAGTAAGAGGTCTGTCACATGAGCCTTTTCAGTAGAGATGCTGAGAACTGAACCTGAAACCTTCTGCATACCAAGCAGATGCTCAGCCGCTGAGCCGTGGCCCACTTCTGGACAACCAGAACAATTCTACCGAGTAGCGAAAATGCTATCAAGAAGTTTCCACCATCCTCAAAGCATCATGTTCTGCCTATAGGCTTGAGAGGCTTTGAAAACACCCCCCTAGATGCAGTATATACCTTTTCTAAATAAATACATTCTGCCTGGGTCACTGACCATCGCAAATTAATTCTCTCGCATTCCTGCATATATCTGCGTCGGGACCCATTTCCTCCACCTTGAAAGTAAACCTTTACCAAGCCCCCAGAATTTTCACAAAGTCCTGGACCTCTAATTGGCCCCATGACTGTCACAAATCGATTGCCTTGCACTTCAGTTGAGTTAAAAATCCGTAACGGCGGGACCCTCTCTGAAACAAAAACATCTCCTCTGACGCCACTCGGGATTGCGCCGACTTCTTCCCCACGGAGGCAAACCTTTTTGCTACAGTCGGCTAGACAATCTCTTCACAGTTACGGGAGTTGTCCAATTAATTCATTTTTGTTTATTTAACCCGAGATCTGGCCATGGAGGCTCATCTCATTATTTCAACCGCCATTCTAGTGGCAAGAGATCAGCCATAATAGTCACAATGACACATAGTACCGCTATACGCAGTCATACACGTAGGTTACATTACCAACAGCAAAGCTAATTGGCTAATTGGAACGTTGCGGCCCCGTCCTTCCAACTTCAACACAGCAGATCTCCCGGCTACAGACTTGCCATTCCGTTTTCAAGCAGAGGCTGGATGACCATCTTTCGCGTATGTTGTAGGGCTCTCTTTCAGCTATGCTCCTACAGAGTCCAGGGGGGTTAGACTAGATAACCTGCAGGCTCCCTTCCAACTCTAACATTCTATGATTCCACGGAATGCAGATTTTTAATTTTTTTGCTTGCGAAATTGCCACACTGACCCTATATTGTAGTCTCGCCATTGCGATTAATTACTCCTGCGATGCGACTCTTATCACAAGGTTCTGTTTTGGCTCTCAGCCGTCGCCTCCTGGATTCGTATTATAAATCCTCATTTTGGAGGCCTTGTAAAGCATACAGAAACATTCCCCTCCAGAGTGGGGCTTCTTTATGTCAACCAGATCGCATTTCACTCCTGAGGCACAGAAGGGAATTTATACGGCAGCGGTGGTAAAAAGTGGTATTTTCACATTCCTGAGATTGGGGGGGAAATATTTAAACGCACACTGTGACTCAGTTCAGACACAACACAAAACAATGGTTTAATTAATTAAAATAAGAACATAAGAGACGCCAATGTTGGATCAGGCCAAAGGCCCATCCAGTCCAACACTCTGTGTCACACAGTGGCCAGAAATACCAGTGCCATCAGGAGGTCCACCAGTGGGGCCAGGACATTAGAAGCCCTCCCACTGTTGACCCCCCCCAAGCACCAAGAAGACAGAGCATCACTTGCCCCAGAGCCCCTAGCTATACCTTGTGGCTAATAGCCACTGATGGACCTCTGCTCCATATGCTTATCTAATTCCCTTTTGAAGCCGTCCATGCTTGTAGCACCCACCACTTCCTGTGGCAGTGAATGCACATGGTAGGGATGCCGGCCTCCAGTTGGGATCTTGGGATCCCCAAGAATTAAAACTCATCTCCAGAGTAACAAGATCAGTTCCCCTGGAGGAAATGGATGCTTTGGAGAGTGGACTCCATGGCCTTGTACCCCACCGAGGTCCCTGTCCTCCCCAGGCGCCATCCCCAAATATCCAGGCATTTCCCAACCTGGCTCTGGCAACCCTGCCCCCCCCATCTCCCACAGATGGCCAGCAGGTACTTGGCAACCATAGAGTGTGGGTGGTGTGTTTGTCTGAATACAGGCCATTCTGTCAAACCAGCGTCTAAAATCACTGGGTGAGGTTGGTTTATTCATCACTGTCTTAACTAGCTGATGAATCATGATGGGTAGCCATGCTAGTGTGTCCGTAGCAGTGGAAAAGAGTCCAGAAGCACCAGAGGTCATTTCGCGGGGGATCGCAGTTCCCCCGGGTGAGGTACGGGGGGGCTGGGCACATGACGAAGCCCCGCCACCTGCTTCCGCCCGCCCCGCTTCCGGCCCTCATTCAGCCAGGAGGAGGCAGGAGAAGAGGGAGGGTAAGTTGCTTCCTCCCCACCTCTCCCCACCCCTGCCTGCCTGGGGCCAGGGAGGGCCTTGGCGGGGCTTCCTCGCACTCCCGCCGCCCTTGCAGGTCCACCGCCGGGCCCCTGATGTCAGGGGGTGTGGCATATGCTAATGAGTTATGCTAATGAGTTCCCCTAGCTCTTTTTCTACGAAATGACCCCTGAGAGGGCCTTGGTGGGGCTTCCTTGCACTCCCGCCGGCCTTGCAGGTCCATTGCCGGGTCCCTCATGGGACTCGGCAGTGGAGCTGCAAGGCCGGCAGCGATTGGGGGCGGGGTGTGTGTCCTTATGACACACTTCCGGTGATGTCAGGGGGTGTGGCCTTAGGACACACTTCCGGTAATGTCAGGGGGTGTGGCATATGCTAATGAGTTCCCCTAGCTCTTTTTCTACGAAACGACCCCTGAGAAGCACCTTTAAAGACTAACAAAATTTGTGGCAGGGGAGGAGCTTTCAGGAGTCACTGCTCACTTCTTCGGATAACCTGCTGAAGAGAGCTTCGAACCTTGAAAGCTTATACTCAGGGAATCTCTTTGGTGTTTAAGGTGCCGATGGACTTCAACCTTGCTCTGTACTGGAGGCCAACTTGGCTACCCACCTGAAACACTTCGCTATGGTTTTGTGTGACATAGGAACCCAGGCGTCCTGGCCGAATCCAGGCTTGTTATTTGGTGATGCTTTTACACACTCTCTAAACTACAGAGTTGCCTAGCCAGCATGGAGACGCTGAAGGCCGCACGTATCAAAGCGAACCAGGATTTGAGTTACCGTCTGCAAGCCGAATGCTCGTTTCTCGAACGAAACGTAGTAAAAATAAGCCCTGATTTCATGTGACTTAGTTTATATGTGTGGGCAGGGGTCATTTCCTGCGGGAGCGCACAGGAACAGAGCTCCGGCAGTAAGGAACCCAGGGGGTGGGCACATGCAACAAGCCCTGCCCCCTGCTCCCAGCAGGCCTCAGTCAGGCCACGAGGAGCAAGAAGCAACCAGGTAAGTTGCAGAGCCCGCCCCCTGCCTTCACGTACAAGGTTTCCCTCCTCTGTGAGGGCAGATATGTGCGTTTCCCCCCCCCCCATAGTAAGCAATCCAAAACAGTCCGGTGGCACCTTTAAGACCAAGTTTTATTCAGGTACAAGCTCTCCCTCCTCTGCGAGGACAGATCTGCACCACCTCTGGCTGCCTGTGATGTGTGAATGCAAGCGTGCAGAGTTCATTTTAATCAGAGCTAGTTTTAACCCATAGTTGCTGTAGTATCACACGCTGCAGAAGAAGAGATTGGTGGCGGAGTGATTTGCCTGCCCAAGCCCAACAGAGGGTCAAGTCCCTGCACATTCAGGATTGATGCAGGATTGGCACGACAGCTGAATACAGCCAAAACATAACCCTCTGCAGACAAACTTGGGATACTGAGCGTGACACATACATAGTTTGTCTAAAGGTAGTAATGTGCGGGCAAGGCGGGATATTAAATCGAAATTGATAAATAATAAATAAAATAAATGTGGAGAAACTGAAATAATGATAAGAGACCAGGGCCCTGCGGGACCTCTCACAGTTCCGCAGGGCCTGTAAAATGGAGCTCTTCCGCCAGGCTTTTGGAGCTGCCGCCACCTAATATCTCTACCGCCAACAACTGATATCCATGTAGGCGGAACCCTGGCCCATTGGTCCCTTAAATACTGCCCGAGCCAATCACCCGAGACAGCCGCAGAAGGCCGAAGAGCTGATCCCAAAACAAGGAAGGTTGCTAGCACTTTATTATGTCTGAGTTCTAACACTGTATTTAGATTAGTTTATGTGATTTTATGCCATTGTATTGTTAAGATTTTACTCTGTTGTAAGCCGGCCTAGGCCGGGAGGGCGGGATAAAAACTGAATATATAAACAAACAGGGATATTTTGGGGCAGGAACGCACAGGGACGGAGTTCCAGCTGGCTCCCAAGTTGGCCACGCCCAGCAGGAACTCATTAGCATAATTGGCCACACCCAACAGCAGAAACTCATTAGGGTTGGCTACAATAGGGGTGTGTGGCCTAACATGCAAAGGAGTTCCTGCTACAAAAAAAGGCCCTGGGTTTTGACAATAAACAAGGTAAAGAGAATAAGAAGCAAAAGGTGGGTGTGGCTGGATGACCACACTTCTGGTAACATGGGGGTGCGGCCTAATGAGCTAATGAGCTGTGCTGTCAGGGGTGTGGCCTAATATGCTAATGTGTTTCTGTTGTTGGGTGTGGCCTATTATGCTAATGAGTTCCTGCTGGGCTTTTTCTACAAAAAGAGCCCTGTAAATAAATAATATTGAAAGCACCACATGTTGAAAGCCCTGACCTGGATAGCCCAGGCTAAACCAGTCTCATCAGGATCTTGAAAGCTAAGCAGGGTCAGCTCTGGTTGGTACTTGGATGGGAGACCGCCAAGGAAATCCAGGGTTGCTGTGCAGAGGCAGGCAGTGGCAAAACACCTCTGATCGTCTCTTGCATTGAAAACCTGCTGCGACTTGACGGCGCTTCACACACACTGAAAATTATTACTGGTCAAGTGAACAACCCCGTGGCACCTTTTTCAATTTGTGTGTTTGTATTCAGAGCGGGTTTCCATCTTTCAGTTTTGTTTTGTTTTATTGCAGTCGTCTTATTTCTTTCCCCCCCTCCCTGCATCCTAGAGCTTAGAATTGTTTACAGAAACAGAAATTTGTCAGCTCGCCAGAAGAAAACATGATCGTTTGTTTGCTTTGAAGAGCCGTTAATAATTCATCCTCGCAGGCCCTTCTGTGTCATTCTGATTCTCATTCTCATTCCTCCCTGGTCTGCCGCAGGTTCATAACAGAAACTTGCTGTCCCTCGACTTTGACCGGGTGACGAGAACGGAGAAGATCTACGATGATCATCGCAAGTTCACCTTGCGGATTCTGTACGACCAGGCCGGCCGGCCCAGCCTTTGGTCTCCCAGCAGCAGGCTGAATGGAGTGAACGTGACCTACTCCTCGGGAGGACACATCGCTGGGATCCAACGGGGGACCATGTCAGAAAGGATGGACTATGACCAGTCGGGCCGGATTACATCCAGAATCTTCGCCGATGGGAAGTCTTGGAGCTACACTTACTTAGAAAAGGTCAGTGAGCCACCTACAGATAAGACACTTCGGGAGCTTTTAAGGAGTCAGACGTCGATTCCCCTCGATTTATCATCTGCATTTCCTTCCCTTGTACTTCAACGGCTCTTAGTCTTCGGGGAGGGCGGGATATAAATCCAAAAATAAATAATAAATAGTCCTCACGGTGCTTTTGTACTTTTGGGAGTTCAGTGAGTAGTCTGGGGAATGCTGGGTGAAGGGACAGTAATGACTTCTACATGGGATTTTTGCTCCATTTTGGGTTTCCAACTGCGGCAGATTTATATCCGAGTTTCCGCACAGCATCGTTTCCCATCCATTGTCTTTCCATGGCTTCCCCGTGCTTTTTCCATGCTTCCTCGAACAACATTTGGTCCGGTGTTTCCTGCCACTATGCGGCTGAAGCATTTTGCTTTCCACGTGAAGGTATGGCACCACCCGCTTCAGCGCCATTTCCCTGCCATGTTCCCCTGCAGCTGCCATTTCCTCCACCTTGCCACCAGGGGGCTTTTTAAAAATCGTCAGTAGCTCAATCGCTATAGTGTTACAATAACATAACATTCTGTTGGTTTGCTCCTCTGAGCTGCCAGCTTTCAGTTTAAAGAAAGTTAAGTCTCTAGCCATTTTCATGACCACCTTTTCCCCTTCTGTCTCTGCAACAAAATGGGCTAAAGACTTTCTTTTTCTTTTAAACGAAAGCTAGGAATTCAGAGAATCCAGTAGATTAAGTGTTGTAATGTTACAGTGCTATAGCAATCTAGCTCTTACTTATTTTTTTAAAGGCCCCTGTGGTATGGGGCGAGGATAACACCATCAGAGCAACAAGGCAGGGGAAGTCATAGAAACCCACTGCATTGAATTGGCAGCCACAGTGGCAACTGGAAAGCTACAGGGACTCGTTGCTCTGTGTGGAAAACCGTAGTGACTTATCTAATCACATTTCCCGTATACTTGGAAAATACATATTTTTTCTACAAATCCTTCTTGCTGAGGAGAACGATTCCTTCTCTCCCCTAACTGTATCTTGGAATATTAGTGATGAGCAGTGGATTTTCGCCAGGCAGAAGAGGGGTTGACTTTAGTGAAGATAAACCTTTAATGCCTTGGTTATTTCAGAAACTCGATCCATTGATAATACCCAATGTGTAGCCATGCTAGTCCATAGCAACAAAATAAAACAGAATCCTTTAGCGCACCTAAGAGACTTAACAGAGTTTCATCTGGCATAAGCTACTATCTGTCAGAGGTCCATATTTTCATTGTTTTAATTCCTGATGTTCGCCACCTTGGGGACCCTGTTTGTGTGAAAAGGTGGCATATGAATATTTTAATAATAGCAATAATAATATCAATAATAATAATAACAATAATGTATTATTATATTATATAATATATAGTATATAATTATATATTATATAATAATAATAATGAGATGATGATGATGATGATGCATCTGTTGAAGTGAGTTCTGACCCAAAAAAGCTTGTGCTGGAAAAAATGTTGGTGGTCTCTAAGGTGGCAGTCCTATTTCACTTTAGAGCAGTCGCTTTACCAAAATATTTTTGGTGAGGCAGGGGGGGAGGGTGTTAGTGTCACAGAACAGGAACTTGCAAGATTATTTTCAGTATTCCGCCAACTGTGGGTACTTCTCCTCTCTCCCAGATCACAAATACTTTCTGAAGGAAGAAAGTTTGCAAGGGGTTTTGACAATAGTGTCAGTGTCCTGCTTCATGAATTCCAAGTTTTTTGCCGCTTTAAGAATGAGGGATGCTCATTATTTCTCCCCTCCTCCTTACAGTCCATGGTGCTGCTCCTTCACAGTCAACGGCAGTACATTTTCGAGTTTGATAAGAATGATCGTTTGTCGTCCGTGACCATGCCCAACGTTGCACGCCAGACCTTGGAAACTATTCGTTCCATTGGCTACTACAGGAATATCTACAGGCCCCCAGAAGGCAACGCATCCGTCATTCAGGATTTCAATGAGGAAAAGCAGCTCCTTCACACCTATCACTTGGGAACAGGGAGGCGGGTCATCTACAAATATGGCAAACTCTCCAAGCTGGCTGAGATGCTCTATGACACGACTAAGATCAGCTTCACCTATGATGAAACAGCTGGGATGCTGAAGACCATAAACCTGCAGAACGAGGGGTTCACTTGTACCATCAGATACAGACAGATTGGACCACTCATCGACCGGCAGATCTTTCGTTTCACAGAAGAAGGCATGGTGAATGCGCGTTTTGACTACAATTACGACAACAGCTTCCGGGTGACCAGCATGCAAGCGGTGATCAACGAGACCCCACTACCCATTGACCTTTACCGATATGATGACGTTTCAGGTAAAACGGAACAATTCGGCAAGTTCGGGGTCATCTACTATGACATCAACCAAATCATTACCACTGCGGTCATGACTCACACGAAACATTTCGATGCCTACGGCAGGATGAAAGAAGTGCAGTACGAGATATTCAGGTCCCTCATGTACTGGATGACAGTGCAGTATGACAACATGGGGAGAGTAGTGAAGAAGGAGCTGAAGGTCGGCCCATACGCAAACACAACGAGGTATTCGTATGAATACGATGCAGATGGGCAACTCCAGACCGTGTCAATCAATGAGAAGCCACTCTGGCGGTACAGTTATGACCTCAATGGAAACCTCCACTTGTTGAGTCCCGGCAACAGTGCCCGCCTCACTCCACTGAGGTATGACCTCAGGGACAGGATCACAAGACTGGGGGACGTGCAGTACAAGATGGATGAAGATGGCTTCCTGAGACAAAGGGGGAATGACATTTTTGAGTACAACTCGGCAGGACTGCTCATCAAGGCCTATAACAAAGCCAACGGGTGGTCCGTGAAGTATCGTTATGATGGACTTGGAAGAAGGGTCTCCAGCAAAACCACCCATGGGCATCATTTGCAGTTCTTTTATGCAGACCTCACCAGCCCCACCAAAGTCACCCATCTCTACAACCACTCGAGTTCTGAGATAACCTCCCTCTATTACGACCTCCAGGGCCACCTCTTTGCTATGGAGCTCAGCAGCGGAGACGAGTTTTACATTGCCTGCGATAACACTGGGACTCCTTTGGCAGTCTTCAGCGGGACGGGCTTAATGATCAAGCAGATCTTGTACACAGCTTATGGGGAGATCTATATGGACACCAACCCAAACTTTCAGGTCATTATTGGTTACCAAGGAGGACTCTATGACCCCCTTACCAAACTCATACATATGGGGAAGAGAGACTATGATGTGCTAGCTGGCCGGTGGACGAGCCCTGACCACGAAATTTGGAAACGTCTGAGCAGCAGCAATATAATGCCTTTCAATCTTTACATGTTCAAAAATAACAATCCTATCAGTAACTCTCAGGATATCAAGTGCTACATGACAGGTAAGACTCCTTTTTTGGCTAGCTTCTCTGTTGCCCATCAGTCAACTCCCAGATACCTTATGTTTGACTGCACATCTTTTTATAACGTGGAAGGTTTTCAAACCTGCACTCGTGGTGTCTCCAGGTGCCTGGTATTTTCTTTGGGACTTTATTAGGAAGAGCATATGTTTATATCACAGTGTCCTAGAAATGAAGGGGGCTTTGTAAGCCATTTAGGCCAAACCCAAACTCGGTGCAGGAAACCTCGAAACATAAAGCATCCCTGACAGATGGATGCCCAGCCTCAACTTTTGAGGCCAATAATAATTAATTAATTAATTAATTATTGTATGGCAGCGTTTGTAGTACAAATCCTCCAAACTGGACATTTCTTTATTCCTGTACATCTTGAAGTTATTCACAAAGTGCTCCTTTTCATAAAATCAATAACGGGCCCGTTATTGATGAACTTCAAGATGTACAGGAATAAAGAAATGTCCAGTTTGGAGGATTTGTAACCGTGAGGATACTCAACTGAGTTTTTTATGTGTGAAAAAGACGCCCAAAACGAATATTAACTCCGGGGGAGTTCGTCCATCAGCTCATCTGTGAGACGTCTTCATCATTCTTGAGACGTTCTTATCTTCTGTGAAAACATTGTATTGTTATTATTGATGTTATAAATACAAATTGGAGTATGTACAGTTTGCACATTTTGCAGTAGTTCTGTCGTGTTGGTTTCTATCATAATGCAACCCCCTTTATTGTTAGCATTTGTAGTATAGCCAGGAGATCCTAAAATTATCCGGCAGCCCGAAGTTCTAGCTCCGTTAGTATTATGCACCACTAGGTGGCGAACTAGACTTGTTTTTAAGGCAAGAGACATTTTAGAGGTGGTTTGCCATTGCCTGCCTCTGAGTCACACCCCTGGTATTCCTTGGAGATCGCCCATCCCAGTACAACCCAGGGCCGACCCTGCTTAGCTTCCAAGATCGGGCTAGCCTGAGCTATCAGGAAACTTATCACTTAGAGACCAACATCGCTATGAGTCCAACAAGATTTTCTGAGTATAAGAGTCAACATTCTCTTTGTCAGATACAAGACAAATCATCTGGTATCCGAGGAAGGGAGCTTTAACCCTCAAGAGCTTATACTCTGAAAATCTTCTTGATCTCCAAGGCACTACTGGACTCAGATCTAGCTGCTGTCCTGCAGATTAACACGGCCACCCTCCCGAAAGCAACATCTGCTCGAGGACCTTCAAGAAGGAAGGCCCGTCTCATCTCGAATTTCTAAAAATCCCTTCTTAGTGAGCACCTACGCCACGGTAGGAGCACTCTCCCCGAATCTGGTGTCACTAGGTCCGGCAGTTTGGCCTGGGCACTGATTTTACGGTGAGGGGACTTTCTTTTATATATATAGACAGGGGTCATTTCGTAGAAAAAGAGGTGCAGGAGCTCATTAGCATAACTTCTTAGCATAACTTATTTGCATATGCCATGCCCCCTGACATCACTGGAAGTGTGTCAGAAGGCAACACCCACCACTCAGGCTCCACTTAGTCTTAAAGGTGCCACTGGACTGTTTTGGATTGCTAGCTATGATGGGGGGGGATGCGCAGATCTGCCGTCACATAGGAGGAAGAACTTGTACCTGAAGGCGGGCCGGGGGGGGGGCTCTGGAACTTACCTGGCTGCTTCTTGTTCCTCATGGCCCGACTGAGGGCTGCTGGGAGCAGGGGGTGGGGCTTGTTGCATGTGCCTGCCCCCTGGGCTCCTTACTGCCGGAGCTCCGCTCCTGTGTGCTCCTGCAGGAAAGGACCCCTGTATATAGAAGATACTTCTATATGACTTTGCTGTTTACCTATTAAAACCAACTCTGGTATGTGACAGACAGGTTAAATGAAAGGAGGAGGTTTATTCGTGGCTTATCAAGGTGAAACTGGTGAGATCTAATGCAGAGTGGTGGAGGACTCTGAACAGAGGAAGTGGAGGACATTTCCCACGCTGAGTATAATTGTAAACAACTACCACATTTCCCCCCCAAACACACACCTGTGTCCCAAACCCCCCCTGTAAGCCAAAGAGCAAGCAAAAACATACCTGAAGGGTCCCCCCCTGCCCCACAGTTCCCTCCCACTCCTCCCGACAACCCCTTTCAGCAGATTAAAAGGTGACGAATGTCCTCCTAATTTCCCATCAGTCACACAGAGGTATCTCCGTGTGGATCAGTTGGCGGCCCAGACATTAAATTGCATCTAAATAAAGGGCATTAGGGATCCTTTCCTCTTGCCGAGCAGCGGATAAATCCTCTCTAATCGTGACCTTTTATCAAGCCTTTTAAAAATAACAATGCGATTAAGTGTTAATTCGTCCCTGAGAATTGGCACTTGCGCGCGGATGAAAAACCGGTATCGGTTTGCTTTCCGTGTTGGCCAGAGCTAAGAGACTGCAGTCTTTGACCAAACAAAACAAAACGCCATTGGGGTCGGTGGGATTACTCTGGAGGCGTGACAGGGACACCAAACACCAGAATGGGAAGCTGGGCTGGTTCTAGGTATTGAGGGGCCCCAGGCAAAGAGGTCCCGAGGCCCCCTCCCTTCTACTACTCACCACCGGGCCCCCATACATTGCCCCCTTCTCTCCCCCCCCCACCCACATGCCTCCCACCTGCCTGGGTGCCCTTCCGCTGCCTGCTTGCGAGCTCTCCCACTGCCCATGCTCACCACTGTTGGCAGCCATTTTCCCAGGGGCACTGGGCAGGGCGTGTACCTTGGGAGCGTGGTGAAGTGCTATCAGATGTGAGTGGAGGGCCATAAGAACATAAGAGAAGCCAATGTTGGATCAGGCCAATGGCCCATCCAGTCCAACACTCTGTCACACAGTGGCCAAAAATAACAGGTGCCATCAGGAGGTCCACCAGTGGGGCCAGGACACCAGAAGCCCTCCCACTGTTGACCCCCCCACCCCAAGCACCAAGAAGACAGAGCATCCCTTGCCCCAGACTGACTAATAGCCACTGTAGCTAATAGCCACTGATGGACCCCTGCTCCAGATGTTTATCCAATTCCCTCTTGTAGCCGCCACCCCCTCCCGTGGAAGTGAATTCCATGTGTGAATCACTCCTTGGGTGAAGAAGGACTTCCTTTTACCCGTTCTAACCCGACCGCTCAGCAATTTCATTAAGTGCCCACGAGTTCTTGTCTTGTGAGAAAGGGAGGTTGGGATAGATGACCCTCGGGGTCCCTTCCAGCTCTGTATTTCTAGGAAAGCTTGCTTAATTGGAATTTACCTTCGGTGGCCTTCGGAACACGCTTTTGTAAATCCGGTTTTGTGGCCCGGCAGTTTCTTCTCTGGCAATCAGTGTTCCCTCTAAGCTGAGTTAGTGTGAGCCAGCTCACAGTTTTTGAGCCTCCGGCTCACACATTTTTGTCTCTGCTCAGGAAGGGGGGCTCCAGAGCAAACTAATTTATGCAACAGCCGAATTGCTCGCTCACAACTTTAATGCTAGTAGCTCACAAAGTAGAATTTTTGCTCACAAGACTCCACAGCTTAGAGGGAACATTGCTGGCAATTTGTTTTTGTTTCCAGGGGTGGGAAACCGTGATAGATCTAGCTGACGTTTCTATTACCCCCTGCGCGTGCCGGGCACGGCCTTTGCAACGGCCCCAAATGAATTCCTTCTGGCCTGTGCTAGCGAGGTGCTATGGGAGGAAACAGACACGTAACCCGTGTCATGTGAAATGTATTGTTCTGTCTCAAAAGAACAGGTTGTTGCTTTCTGGCAGGTTAATCCATCCGGAGGTAAAAGGCAGCTGTGGTTTCCCCACTGGTTTCAGTGGGAAATCTAAGCCAAAATGGCTCAGACTGAAATCAGTAGGCTTTTAAAATGCTGAGCTGAGACTGGATCATGCCATAGTGTCAACCCATCCAGAGGCTCACGGCTTTGGAGCAGTGAGAACAACTTGAAGTAATGCTGATTCATCCAGAGAACAATCGATACTGATGAGTCGTACAGAACTTGACCCATATGGGAAGTACCTTCCTTGGGAGTAGGGGTGCCAGCCTCCAGGTGGGTCAAACAACACAAATATACACTGCAAATACCTTTTATAAGTATCTTTGTTCCATCTTATAAAGTGCATTGTGTGTTATTTATAATATTCTAAAACAGGTAGCTTTGAGAAAGACAGGAGCGCTCCGTCTATGAACTTCAGCTGTTTAATGGGCCTCTCGTAGGACCAGCAACAAACATCTATTTAAACATCAATGTAACCACAAAAGAAAACTTCCCCCTTTAGAAGAAGACTTTCAAGCAAGGAGAAGCGGGTGTATAATTTTAGAAACTCCCGTTGGGGTTGATTGTGTAAAAAGGATGTAAATTGACGTAGCTATTAGATTTGTATAAACTGATTATTATTATTATTGATATTGCATGTAATGAATATATACCTGTTTTAGAATATTATAAATAACACACAATGCACTTTATAAGATGGAACAAATAGAACACATTAACTTATAGAAGGTTTTTGCAGTGTATATTTGTGTTGTTTGACTCTTCTAACACTGCAGCTCGAGTTTCTACAGCCTCCAGGTGGCACCTGGAGACCCCCCAGTATTACAACTCATCCCCAGACTAAAGAGATTTGATCCGTGCCCCTGGCTCAGTGGTGGAGCATCTGCTTGGCATGCAGAAGGTCCCAGGGTCAGCCTCTCCAGCTGAAGGACCAGGCAGTAGGTGATGTGGAAGACCTCTGCCTGAGACCCTGGAGAACTATGGAGAGGGACCATGGCTCAGTGGTAGAGCATCTGCTTGGCATGCAGAAGGTCACAGGTTCAGGCATCTCCAGGTAAAAAGGACCAGGCAGTAGGTGATGTGGAAGACCTCTGCCTGAGACCCGGGAGAACTATGGAGAGGGACCATGGCTCAGTGGTGGAGCATCTGCTTGGCATGCAGAAGGTCCCGGGTTCAGTACCTCCAGCTGAAGGATCTGGCGGTAGGTGATGTGAAAGACCTGTGCCCGAGACCCTGGAGAGCCACCGCTAGTCTGAGTAGACAGTACTGACTTTGACGGACCAAAGGTCTTATTCAGTATAAGGCAGCTTCATGTGTTCATGTGAGATCAGTTCCCCTGGAGAACAGGGAAGCTTTGGAGGGTGGACTCCATGGCATTGTTACCCACGGAGGTCCCTGTCCTCCCCAGGTCCATCCCCAAATCTCCAGGCAGACGTGTAGCTACAGTGGGGCAATTTGGGGCTCTGCCCCCTCTAATGTGAGGCATGCCCCACAAAAGCTGCTGCCCCTCAGAGGCAGGGAAGGTGTGCGGCTGCCTCATCCTCCCCCTCCCCTGCTGCCCCACAAAATTTCCCCATGCCCCACCAACCCAAAATTTCTGGCTATGGGGGCTGTCTCCAGGTGTTTCCCAATCTGGATCTGGCAACCCTATGCCTTATTCCCCCCCCCACCAGTGGCCAGAGGTGACCTGACAACCCTACTCTGGGGGGGGGGCGGGAAGCAAATTGTAGTGCATTATTTTGGGGCGCCCCTCTAGCCTGAGGTTTCTGCAGTACAAATTCACAGGAAAAATCCTCTGCCCGGCATAAAACATCATTGATCATTGCTGTGATTCATATAGCAGATGGGTAGATAAGGGGCGCTCAGGTGGTTTTGTTTTGAAGCGAATGTTCATCGAATGGCTTTTTTTAAAAAAATAATGACAATATTGCTTTTTATCTCTTAAATCCTCCAAGATGCAGGGTTTCCGTGCCCTACACATAGGTAAGCGGATAGGGTCGGTCACCCCTCTGCTCTACTTTGGTTCATTAGCTGATAACGTGGTTTTCTATCCGGTATTGCCAGGAGACGCCATCCCCTCGGCTTGCGGATAAATACCAAAAAAGAAGAAAAGATAACCGTTTCCCTTATCTTGTTGATTGAGGACTTAGACTGAGCGAGAAGCAATTTATCCTTAGGTGGCTGAAATACTGCTCCAGGACAGATAAATTCACAGAAGAGGTGTGAATTCAGCTCCCGTTCTCTCAAACCCAAGCTCAGCTCTCTGGCCAGTAGATTCCACTGGCCCATTCAGACTGATCTGCAGGTGTTCTTGATGTCACATTGCTTCCTCCTTGGCCAATACGTCCTGTGCAGAATCAACTGCTGTGTCGCCATCTTTCAGTCACCATGGTTTCCTTGTTGCTGCAAAATAGTAAAAAACCCAGTAGCGACTTTAAGACTAACAACCTTTATTGTAGCATAAGCTTTCAAGAAACACAGCTCTTTTCGTCAGATGCAGCTGATGAAGAGAGCTGTGTTTCTCGAAAGCTTGTGCTACAATAAAGTTTGTTAGTTTTAAACGTGCTACTGGGCTTTTTACATGGTCTCCTTGTTTGCTACCCATTTTGATTTTGTTAGCTCAGCCTCTGTGTCTAGGGTGTCAAACATGTGGCCCGGGGGCCGGATTAGGCCCCCGGAGGGCTTCCATCAGGCCTGCAGTGGAACTGACCCTCTCCTGCTTCCAGTCCTGCTGCTGCTGCTGCATCGTAGCTTGCTTCGCCAGAATCTCTTAATCACTCGGCCATGTCATGTTTTAACCTGGGTCCTAGACTTCAGAACTCTGAGCATGAGACTTCTGTGGGGAACATCAATAAATCAAAAGTGGGTTTGCGGCTTAGAGCTCATGTTTTAAGCATGTTTTTATATTAAGTAAAAAAAAACCCCTTCATGTTTGCGTCCTTTATAAAGTTTATATCCCCGCTACCTGGCATGACATTTTATGCCACACATGGCCCGGCCCAACAAGGTCTCATTTATGTCAGATCCGGCCCTCATAACAAATGAGTTCGACACCCCTTGCTCTATGCTATATTTTTATTTAATATATTTTTCTATATCAGAGCTGCCAGGATTTGGGTCCTGTAGTAAGTCAAAGGAATGATAATTTTTTTACAAAATCAGTTGCTCTTGAGCTTTTTGAAAAGGGAACCACTTGGAAACTTTACTTTTGGGGACCTCCCGTGCAAATAGGGGTGCCAACCTCCAGGTGAGACCTGGGGAGCTCACGGAATCACAGTTCAGCTCCAGGCTACAGAGATCAGTTCCCCTGGAGAACATTGGATGCTTTGGAGGGTGGACTCTGTGGTATTGTACTCCACTGAGGTCCCTGGAACGTGAAGCCTATTTTTTTATTTTCCTTTTTAATATTTATAAATACATAGCAGTACTGAGCAACCGGCAGTTATCTCATGACTATTCTGCATATTATTACAAGCAGACCTAGTGGCCTAGACCAGTGATGGCGAACCTTTTAGAGACCGAGTGCCCAAATTGCGACCCAAAACCCACTTATTTATCGCAAAGTGCCAACACGGCAATTTAACCTGAATACTGAGGTTTTACTTTAGAAAAAACAACTCAGACGCTAACTTAAGATGATCCAGACAAAGTCAGGAAAGCAATCCCAAATGCTTTCATTTACTTAAAATTATTTGGCAGAGAATTCGACACTTTAATGATGGTCTGGGCCTGGCTGGAGTGATGGCACACGTGCCCACAGAGAGAGCTCTGAGTGCCACCTCTGGCACCCGTGCCATAGGTTCGCCACCACTGGCCTAGACTAACCCGGTCGACTTAGAGCTAGGAAGCTGAGCAAGGTCGGTACTTGGATGGGAGGACCACCAAGGAAGGTTGTGCAGAGGAAGGCGATGGCCAACCACCTCTCAACGTCTCTTGCCTTGAAAACCCCGTGAGATGGAACTTCATGGGGCCAGAATGTGTCCATTGCAACTCAACGGCACACTTATCTTTTCCTGCGTGTTATGCAGAGGCAAACCTAAATTTGCCATCGAGCCTCCCAGAGCATCCTCCCACAACTCACCCTGATCCCCCTTCTGGCCTTGTGGCCCACTATTGTGTCCCACCCCACCATTTGAGAACAACTGCATTAAATACAGATGTTCCTCTGGAGAGGGATTCTCAGCTAAGCCAGAATCAGGCACCACTTGCAGATGCATACTTAGCAATTCAGGGACACTTCCAAATCTATTCTTCTTGACATGATTTAACACTCACAGCTAGCCCAAACCCTATTTTCTCCACTTGGGTGGGATGGTTGGGTGTTCCACCTCTGAAACGTGCACCACTTGACTGCTCTTTCTGGCCGCCATATGTCTTGCTGCGCAGTTAGCAGATGAGCAGATGACTTCCAGTTTTTTCTTTTCTACCCATCTAGATGTCAACAGCTGGCTGCTTACCTTCGGGTTTCAACTACACAATGTCATCCCCGGATATCCTAAACCTGATGTGGAAGCTGTGGAGCCCTCTTATGAACTTACCCACACACAACTGAAAACGCAAGAATGGGACAATAGCAAGGTAACCCAACGGAATTGCATGGAATGGCAATCTCACCCTCTTCCCTCCCTCACACACAGGATTGTCCCTTTGTTTCTTCTTTCGTGCTTAGCAGCCCCTATGTCTCTTTTCTTCTTTTTTGTTGGTCTGTGGCTGTCCCACCCAGTCACGTTATTATATATTTAGAAGCTGGCCCAGCCCAGGGAACTGAGGGATGAGACAAAATCACCTTCTTAATGTATACTTCTGAAATGGCACACAAGAGTTCAAAATAAACAAATATTTTATTTAACATGTAGGGGGAAAGATCAGGTAGAAACAGGGGTGGGATGTATGAGGTGGACAGTTGATAATAACTGAGGTAACTTTGTAATCACACTAATTTGTTGCCAGCAAGTAGGTGTTTTTGCTTTTCAACAAAGTCTTTGAAAACTTTGAGAAGAGAGGCTTCCTTTTCAGTGTCTGCTTAAACACTCAAGCCTAGTTGTCTGAATTTCGCTGACTCATCAAATTTTAGAAGGCAGGGACAACAGAGTTCCTAGAATCCTTCTATAAACATAAATCAGGGATCACTCCTCTCTTTAGAGTTATCTCCCTTTTCACTGGGCAGGGATTACCTCTTTAGACTAGAAGCTTGAATGGGGATCTTCCATGATCCTCCCACTCCTCTTTTGCTTCCATCCCAGTCCACAGTCGATGCTAAACAGCCTGTTCTTCAACTGTCAGTTCCCGACTGTCATTTCTTAAGTGACGCTTTTCATAGAGTTCTGTTTGAACAGCCTGTCACTCAAAGGCTCTCAAACTTTACCAGGCATTAACCCTTGACAGTTCATCCCACCTGGACTCACCTGTTTCTGTGGCTTCAAGAACACCCTCTCTTGGGGTGTTGCTAAATTATGGAACATGAGAAGTTGCCTTCTGCTGAGTCAGAACATCTTGCCCCATATCGTCTGCTCTAACTGGCAGCAGCTCTCCAGGGGCTGGGGTAGGGTTGTGAGGTCCTGACCTCGCACCAGTAGGGGGTGGGTGGGAGCTTTCCAGGAGTGGGGGGGCAGGGTGATGTCGCCATGTGCGATGTCCCCAGTATGATGACATCACACAGAAGAGACGTCATCATGCTAGGGACATTGTATGGTGACTCTCTCGTTTTTGGGCAAATTCTACGGTAAAACTGGGCTCAAACCACAGAGTTTCATGTGGTGTCATCACGTCAGGGACTTCACGTGGGGTCATAGCTGTTGGGAGTGGGGTTTCCCCCGCCGGCCAGTGGCGGGCAGGAGCCCACAAAATCAGGGAGCCCCCGCTCCCATCTGGGGACTGGCAACCCTAGGATGGGGAAGACAAAGCTATATTATCTCCGTCATATAAAGATGCCAGGATTGGCTCTGGGATCTCGTACCGGCAGCGCACGTACTCTTCTAACGGGAAACCATTCTTGTTTCTTAAGACTCTTTCATTCAGAGGCGCAAATTGCCATTGGCCTGTTCACCCAGGGTGCTCCAGGAGGCTCAGTGGCAGAGCACTTCCGTGGCATACAGAAAGTCCCCATTGCAATCCCCGCCATCTTCAGTTGTCTCCATTAGCAGGTGCTGAGAAGGACTTTTCTCCTCCTGAGCCTGTGGAGAGCTGCTGCCAGTATTAGCCGATGATTGTGGTCTTAGGTGGGCCAGTGGTCTGACTCAGTCTAAAGCAGCTGCGTATGTTCTGCTGTCATGGCTCCAAGGCTCATGGCGCTCCCGCCCTTGCACCTGGCCACGGCAGTGTTCCGGGTTAGAGTACAGGGCTAGGATCAAGAATACCCAGGTTCGAATCCCCTGTCTGCCGTGGAAGCTTGCTTGGGCCAGTCGCCCACATTCGTCATAACCTACCTCCCAGAGTTGTTGTGCCGATAAAAAAGAGGAAGGGAGAGTGATGTGATAAGCCCCTTTGTGTCCCCAGTGGGGAGGAAAACGGTATAAATGAGCTAAAACAAATTGCTACAGTGAAACACTTTTCCAATTGGTAAAAAAGCTCTGAACCTGGGACTCGGCCAGATCTTGGATTCAAATCTCCCAGTGCCCTTATTTGCTGGACCAAGGCAGTCCTCGCTTCTGATGTTGTACCATTCTTCTTTATCTCAACAGTTTGCTTAAAGCCGCAGCATTATCAGAGGTCTGTCTCTGTGCCTCTCTCTCTCTCTCTCTCCCCACTCAAATGGCATTTTCTATTTCCCTTCTTCACTAGTTCACTTAAGGGGAAATTCATGATGGAAGATGAAACAGACTGGATAGAAAAAAAATTTCAAAGGCAGGCTACTCTCTCGCTTTGAACTCTGCATAATCTGTTTGCGTCCTTTCCCTTTTTATTTTCACAGCCACGGAGCACACGGGTTGTTTTTCATATGGAGAAGAAAGCGCTCTTCCCCAATGCATTGCTGTATTATTAAAAGAGTGCATTCAAGGTCGTTAGATCTTAAAATTAAGCAGCTTTTCAGAGACACGGGACTTAACTCTCGTGATAACAGAGAAGTTTTTAGTTATGGCTTTGGCACAGCGCTCGTGATAATATTCCATGCTATCTCGTCAATCGATCTAGTACCTTTTTTTAGTTCTGTCCTTCCCCCAAGTAACTCAGGCAGCGAACACGGTCCACTGTTAGCCGTTTTAGCAATCACAAGATTTCAATCTAGGGAACGAATGGTTGCGAACGTGGATGCAATCAGTTCCACCCAATATCCATAATCTGATAAACTCCAACAAGAGGCCTGCGGGATTCGACTTGCCAAGTAAAGTATGGAAGACGGCTAATAGAATACGAGCAGGCTTTGGCAGTTGTGCAGACCTGTGTTTTAAATGTGGCAAAATACCAGGACTCGAATGCGATTGTGGTGCTGCCCACCAAACTATTTTCCATCTGTCGCAGGAATATGAGTGTCCTGCTTTCCAGGGAGGTGTGACGGAACTCTTGGAACTCCCCCCAGCTGTGACTGAGTGGACTGAAAGCTTAGATATCAGTTTTTAGGAGAATTGCCCAATTGGTCCGCATACCCGTTGTATCAACTTGGTTACATGTCTTATATTATTATGTGCTTCCTGTGTGTAACTCTGCCATATGATAAATAATAATGACCAATGCCATCTCTAAGCTGTTAAGTTTTGTGAGCAAATATTCAACTTTGTGACCTACTGGCACTAAAGCCGCGAGCGAGCGATTTGGCTACTGCATACATTAGTTTGCTCTGGAGCCCTCCTTCCTGAGCGAAGACAAAAACGTGTGAGCCGGAGGCTAAAAAATTGCGAGCTAGCTCACACTCACTCAGCTTAGAGGGTACAGTGATAATGACCCATTTCAGCATCATCATAACCCCCTGAGGTCGATTAGGTTGAGAGGAGAGAGTGAACGACAGGCCCAGAGTCACTCGGAGTGGAGATCTGGACCCAGATCTTCTGGATCCTTGTCTGACACGGTAACCACCACACCACATTGACTGTCCTGGGTCTTCAGCTTTCTGGTATTCCTAGGTAACTGTGTGGACAGGAAGACTGAAGTGGTATCGCCTCTTGAGCCTTGGAGAACAGATGAGATATCAGTCATTTAATATGATGGATGTCCAGCCAGGGCCCAGGCTAGCCCGATCTCGTCAGATCTCAGAAGCTAAGCAGGGTCGGCCCTGGCTAGTTCAGGGAACACCAGGGTCGTGACGCAGAGGCAGGCAATGGCAAACCACCTCTGAAATGTCTCTTGCCTTAAAAAAAAACCCAAATCTCCCTCGCCACCTAGTGGTGCATAACTTTAAAAGAGCTCGAACTTCTGTCTGCCAGACAATCTTAGGATCTCCTGGCTATACTACATGCACTGCCATACAATATTAATTATTGTTAGTTATTAGTGGATAGGGCTAGTAACAATTATGATTCCTGTGTGCAAGAAGTAGAAGATTACCAATTGCCAGATGTTGGAGACTATTAATGAGATAACTCCCTCCATTGTCCTCTGCTGATGAGTCTCCCTGGGCATCTGGCTGAAATTGTATGAATCTACTTAAAGGGCTGTGGATAGATCTTGGGTCTGACCCAGCAAAACAGCTCATAGTTAAACGTATCTCTGGCGATGGAAAATGCTATCAAGTTGCAGCTGATTCATGGCAACCCCGTAGGGGAGGTTTCAAGGCAAGAGACATACAGAGGTGGTTTGCCATTGCCTGCCTCTGCTTAGTAACCCTGGACTTCTTTTGCGGTCTCTCATCTAAGTACTCACCAGAGCCGACCCTGCTTTGCTTCCAAGATCTGATAAGATTGAGCTAGCTCGGGCCATCCCGGCCAGGGGGGGAAATGTGTCTCTATGAACATAAAAACAGTGCAGTAGTTTAAGCGCAACAGCATCCTATGCGGAAGAAGTTAAGCAAGCTAAAAATCGTGTGTCCTTAAAGGACTGGGAAACGTTAGTTGTCATGCAGAAATGTCATTCCATGCCACTGACCTCTAACACTGATTTCTCCCCTTCCTTCCTCTTTTATTGCCTTCCTGTTCAGTCAATCTTGGGAGTACAGTGTGAAGTACAGAAACAGCTGAAGGCTTTTGTCACCCTGGAGCGCTTTGAACAGATCTACAGCTCGAGCATTGCCGGATGCCACGAGGCCAAGGAGGACAATAACTTTGCTTCAGGAGGCTCTGTCATCGGCAAGGGGGTCAAGTTTGCCATGAAGGATGGGCGGGTGGCCACTGACATTATCAGCACGGCGAACGAGGACGGGCGGAGGATCGCAGCCATACTGAACAACGCTCACTACCTGGAGAACTTGCACTTCACCATCGAGGGCACGGACACACACTATTTCGTCAAGCAAGGGCCATCGGACAGCGACCTGTCCATTCTGGGCCTCACCGGCGGGCGGAGAACCTTGGAGAACGGCGTCAACGTCACCGTCTCCCAAATCAACACAGTGCTTAACGGAAGGACTAGACGTTACACGGACATCCAGCTCCAGCACGGAGCGCTGTGTCTGAACACCCGCTACGGGACCACCTTAGATGAAGAGAAGACCCGCGTGCTGGAGCTGGCCAGGCAACGTGCCGTCGCCCAAGCCTGGGCACGGGAGCAGCAGAGACTGCGGGACGGGGAGGAGGGGACCCGCTCCTGGACAGAAGGGGAGAAGCAGCAGCTGCTAAACACGGGGCGGGTTCAGGGCTACGACGGTTACTTCGTCATCTCCGTGGAGCAGTACCCCGAACTTTCGGACAGCGCGAACAACATCCATTTCATGAGACAGAGTGAGATGGGCAGAAGGTGACAGGGAGGGTTGACGTGTTGACTTCTTGCCAAAGACAGCTACTCTTTTGTGGCCGCGTACCAGACTGTGTTGTACTCAATCCCTTTTTTTTTAATAATAAAAACACACACACACACACACACAAAGATAACGAACAAGGTTGGGGGGGATGAAGTGATAATACTGTTGCACTGTAAGTCATGCAACGTCGTTTTGTTTTCTCATTTGAAAATTTGTCCTCATCTTTTATCATTCTTCTCCCCCCCACCCTCGAGGAGCAGAAGATATATTTTGCCGTAGTACAAACACAGTGAAATCCTTGTGTCCTTTTTCTTTTTTTATAGTCTCTGTCCCCGTTGAGAAGAACGGGGGGAATGAGCTACCCATAAGTCCTTAGTTTATGTCATGCGGCAAGTGAAGGGTTTTCGCCGTGGGGTTCCTACTTTCCCTTCACCCTTCAGCTGGGCAAGAGGGACAGATTTCCAGGAAGGAGCAGGGGGAATACGTGCTTGTAATTTTCTCCTGTGCAAACAGGGGGGAAAGAACAAAAGGGAAGCTGAAGACTGTTCTAAATCTTCTTACCGTTATCCTTCTAGATAATCGCGAGCCTCTAAAAAGAGAGAACTCGCAGGTCACTTTCACATTTCATACCCTTTTCTGAGTGATCCTGCGGCCTCAAGAAATGGCCAAACAAGACAAAATCGCTTCCTCTTAGAGACTTGCGAGGTGGGTCTTTCCCCTTCCCAAGACGGAATAATCTCTTTTTAAAGTTTTTTTAAATGAGTCTTTTTTTACTACGATAGGCTATTTTGTTGTCCCATTTTTGTTTGCGCGAGAGAGCAACAGAATCTGTTTTCCTACACAATTTGTCATCGTCGTCGTCATCATCGATTTGAAACCCGATTACAACTTTGGGGGGAAAGGAAAGGGGGGGGGAAAGATTCACACTCTGCTAGGATAATTTTCTCACACATACCGTCGGCTGAAAAGCACCAGTGATGTATGTTTGTTAATGGCATACCCTTCTTAAATATATAGTATTTCTGTACACCCAGTCCAGTGTCTTAAAAGTCCAATTTTTAGGATGCAAACTCTCCTTTAACAGCAAGAGTGCCAGTATACCAAGAGTAGGCTTACCGTTGGATTGGTGAAACGTTTTCAGCCCTCCCCAGAATTATATCATAAAGTTATACCTTATTCCAGGGGTCCCCAACCTTTCTGAGCTAGGGGCCACCTTTTGAATTCTGACGCACCATGGCGAGTGCGGCCACAAAATGGCTGCCGCAGGGGGCCAAGCCCGCCACAAAATGGCTGCCGTAGCTTCCCTTTAGTCCTCCAGTAAAGATCCTTGTGCTGTGATGGTGGCTGCTGCCAAAGCAACTTTTTAAAAAGAATATGCCCTGCCAATCAAATCTCCATCGGCCAGTCAGAAGTCTTCCTGGGCAAAGGCCCACCTGGCCTGCACACTTTCTAAAAACGCCCAGTATTTGTAGGGGAAAAACCATACCATGCCGGGGTCCCCCTGCCTTAGACTGAAGCAGACCAGTCATCTATCCGTCCATCCCAGGATGGTCTACTATGGCTCCTGTCAGCTCCCCGTAATCTCAGGCATAACGTTTCCCTGCCCTGCTGAAATCTTTTAATCGCAGGTGCTAGAAATCGGAGCTGATGCATTAATTGGAGCTGGTGCACCACTGGGCATTACTTCCTTCCCGGAGCGTCAAGGGGGATTCCCACAACCCAGTGTGCACTGTACCGCCTAGTCTGATCCGTGGATAGGGCCCTTTCTTCTTAGCAAAAAAAAAAATTCCACACTCAGTACTGTCGTGATCTGAGGAGACCCACCCTCTGCTTCCAGGATAAATCACGCAGAATTGCCTAGACCCCCGTCCTTTGTGCAATCCATTCTGGATCTGGGTTTCTAAAGGGTTTGGATTTCGTTGGGTTTATTACTTTTTTAACAATGTCTTGTGGAGCTGAAGGCTACGGAGATCAGAAATAGGGAAACTGGCGCATGCTGGGGGGAGAGGGGGCAGCCGTGGAGGGAGGGAGTTGTTTTCCATATCCAAAAGATACGTTTGCATGTGCATCCCAAGGGGTGACAACTAAGCCCTGCAAGCGGGTCAAAGTACGTTCAAATTATGGGGCAAGATCTGTTCAAGAGTATTGTTTTTAAAGATTTCCAAAGACAGGTTTGGCGCGTGCACTAGACAGACACAGAATAGTGCTCCATAGCCGGATACACATAAAACACCCACTACAAGGGAAGTGTGGAGAAGATGGTCATATGGATTCATCCAAAACCGGGGAGGTGACTCATACCATCGTGTGAGGATATCCCCATAACTTTACATGCTCGTTTTCATATGGCGACAGGCTCATTGCTACAGTGGGGCTTTGGGGGACTCTGCCCCCTTTCTTAAAGGCACAGCCCCACAAGAATTTATCTGGTAAATGCTTTTTTCAATCATTTTAAAACTTTTTTTAAAGGCATGTGCTCATTTAAGCAGAGCAGGGTGATGTCGTTGACGAATTCCCACACTGAGCAAGGGGGTTGGAGTAGGTGACCTCTAGGATACCTTCTATCTCTGTCTCAAGTAACTGGTCTCCTTTAAGAGAGTTTTTTAGGTTAAATGTTAGCTTTCTTGACTATAAAAGTCATCACCCCCCACCTGCCAGCTTGTTCTCAGAATTGTTGCTTAGGCTGGCAGAAGTGATTAACTTGCAGCAGCTGAGAATTGTCATCTAAACTGGTTGACAGCTTGCAATTTAGAGTTCTATCCTGGTAACAAGTTTCTTTTGGCTAAATGGCTTTCCTTTCTTGCACTGAGAACTGCAGCTCCACCAGAAAAAACTAGCCCCACAAGCCACAAAATCCTGGCTTCAGGCCTCTACAGCGATAGGGTCCTCCAAAGCTGCACCAACCTGTTGAGGTCTTCTTAAAAATTGTCGGTTGTACTCATTTGCACAGCTTTTGAAGACCAGGCTTTTATAGGAACACCGCAAGATCCCAAGGGCCTCTTGTCAAGATTAAAAGCTCCATGCGCAGAGTGGGACGTCCGTGACCTTATCTCACCAGGCATGTGCAAGTGGCTTCCTTGGTGCTTCCTTTTTGACCAACATGAATAGAGGGCTCCTTCTGAAGCACGTTCCTGATGCTCTGTAGTGTAAGAAGAGCACTGTTAGTGCTTATCCCCTTGAGGAGCTCTCGATAAACCCACCCAAATATGTGCAGTGGTGGAATTGTACCAGGGCATGTTGTTGGGCCAAGCGGAAATTCAACATTTAAGTGTCTTTACCACCACCACCACAACCAAGAATGGATTCTTTAGAGCAGCGAGTTCTGGCCACAAGGAGCTGTCCAGAAAATTAGAGTTAGGACCATGTTCCATTGACATCAATGGAACTGAACTGGCCTATTCACGACCCATTCATTTCAATGGAAATTGGCACCATCTACTTTTCAGCCTAAGCAGAGTTACGGCCTTCATCTTTGATGGTCTTGGAAGGGAGTAACTCTGGTCAGGATTGCACTGGGAGAGATGTTGACCGTCTTGATAACTCATCTGATACAAAGACGAGCAGGTACACTCTATTATACCTAGCACTGTGGCAGTATGTTTTGTTTCAGATTTCTTCCGGCCACAACTGATCTCTGAGTTTGCTTTAGAGTCATATTACTGTCTAGTTTTTTAGGACCAAAGGATTTTACGCCATTACTTAATTTCATTTCCTAGCTGAGAAGGCTAAGATACGTTTCCCCCCCCACACAAATTTAACAATCAAGTACACAGTAAAGGGGGGGAAAGTGCTTAAACTCTGGAGCTCATTTCAGTGAAGTTCTCTGTGGTCTCGAAATCATTTTTTCTCTCTAAAAAGAAAACCATATTGTTGGGATTGTCGAATAATTCGCCGTGAAGGTGGATTCGGATAACCATGAAAATCCCTTTGTTCTCGATACATGTTAGCTTGTCTGGCGCATTGGTTTCCAACAGTAGTACCCTGGAGACCCACAAGATGTTCAGGGTATAAGCATTCAAAAAATCAAATTTCCCTTTGTAAGATAGGGACCTCTATTCCTACTTGTATCTGATGAAGGAGTCTTTGACTCTCAAAAGCTTATATCCGGAATATCTTGTTGGTCTCTTAAGTTGCTACTGGACTTGAACCCGTCTCTTCTACTGCAGACTGGCACGACTACCCTCTGAGACTATCTTCACTGGTTGTCAGCGGGTTGCTGCGCACTAAGCCAGAATGCGACTCTGGCTGTGTCTTCCAACGTCGTGGCATTGCCACCCTAAAACATACATTGATGCATGCAAGACCTAAGGCGATTGCCAAGCATTGTTCATTGTTCTGTTCAGAACAGAAGTGACAACTCCGAAAGTGATCAGGGATTAGTCATCTGGAGAAAAATGCCGTCAAGTTGCAGCTGACTTATGGCAATCCCGGAAGGTTTTCAGTGTGAGAGACAGAGGTGGTTTTCAGCATTGCTTAGCAACCCTGGGTTTCCTCGGTGGTCTCCCGTCCGAGTACTAACTCGGGCTGACCCTGCTTAGCTTCCAAGATCTGACAAGCTAGGGCTAGCCCGGATTATCCAGGTTCAGGGTATGAGTCATCTCGACCCACTAGATCAGCATCTTCCGTAGGTGTTATAGCCAACAGATTCATTCTAGTTGTGAGAATGAGGAAGTGGTAATAACACAGCCAAGGGTGTCTGAGACGCGTAATACCACCTACAGAACCTTATTATAAGCAGGGCTTGTTTTCTGGGGGAACGCGCTGGAACAGAGTTCCGGAACCTCTTTGACAACATTCTTTTTAAAATGTTTAAACATTTGTGGGTTTTCATTATACAGATTGAAAACTTCATTTCCGTCTTGAGAGTTCTGGCACCTCTTTTTTTTAAAAAAAAACCCAAAACCTGATTATAAGTCCCCGTTTTTCTATACTTGGGTATCTCGTTTGGTTGTATATGCACCGGTGGAATTGTTCCAGGGCATATTTGTTGGGCCATGTGG